GAGCGGGTGTCGCTGTGCCCGCTCCTCCGCGTGTCACTGGCACTGTGGGATGACAACGAGCCAGAAATGCTCCCTGCTCCAGGAGCTGCCCTGGGGGAAGGTTTTCCCCCGCGGAGCTCAGCTGCCGGCCGTGCCTGTGCTCGCTCTGCGCTGCCCTTCCCGCAGTGTCACGGTGGAATCGCTCCGATGGCCACTCCTGCCCCTTGCCCGAGGCAAACTGCACACCAGAGTGGGATGGACAGAGGGCACCCACAGCCAGCCCGCTGTTCTATCCGAGCGGTTCCTTTTTGTTCGGAGCAGGAATATCCTGTTGCAAGGGCGCAGTTGCTTTTCCCCGTTGCTCGGTGTTTTTCTCTGGCCGCTTTGGTAACTCCACGAAAATCCACGAGGCTTTTGCCCGTGGTAAAAGACAATGGATGTGAGTGAGGGAGGCACGGACTGCAGGGGCAGCCTCGGCAGCGAGTCATTGTGTGACCTTGACTAAAGCAGCTCTCCCCGGAATTCCTTGTTTGTCAAGTAGGATGCTCATTTCCCCAAAATACTTTGCGGGGACAAGGGCGCAGAATAAATCTTGGTTTCCATAGAGGAGTTTTCCTGGGAATAAATCGCTGCCTTTCCAAGCGATGATGCTTCCTAGTGGAGCTATTCTCAGCCCAATTACAGCTGTCGAGTGGAGGTGTGGCCTCTCTTAATTTTAGAGATTCTGCCATGTTTCATTCTGGTCTCTTAATATGGCCACAGCTTTTCTCTAATGGCAGCTCTCAGTCCTGCTTGTCCTGGGTTTTAATGCAAATCTTCATCAATAACTCCAGGAGAAACTGCTCTTCTTTATTCTCTTTTTACATTCTCACACTCTTCCTGCTTTTTGTCAGTGAAGTTGGGAAACCTTTAGCTCTTACACCTGCTTTACACTGGGTTTTTTTGCTACAGGTAAGAGGGTACCTAGTTCATGACWATATTTTTTTGCAGGAGATGCTGYCTGTTMAGGCATTTGGGTTCTGGCTTTGTTCTGCCAAAATAGCGTCTGGAAACAGCACTGAAGAAGAGGCAMTAAAACCAAAATGGGATTGTCTGTGTGGCTGTGTCCTCTGCAGAGCGTCATCTAGGAAAATAAACCCTGAGCAGAGTGAAAACAWAGGAATCCATTTGTTGAACGTGCCAGAGTAGGTCTGCATGCTGCTATTGAKCCCATATTTCTAGGGATGCTGCTGCAGAAAAACGATTTACARCATCGAGGTTATAACCAACCTTGTGGTGAACTCTGCCCTTGGCTTGGTGTTTGCACAGCTGGGTGCAAGGTTCATTCATGGCGCCCAGAACCTGGGGRTAATTCTGCTGTGACACACAAGAACACTGCACACACCACCAGGACACGTCTGCTTCATAAAAAAAATATCTCTGCTTGGAGGCTGAGGGTAACCAAACCAGTGCTTGTTGCTATAATGGGACTAATCTATCATTGCAATTTCCAATAAACAGGTAGAACCTAGGAAAAGTCATCAAAGAGGCTCATCTGAGTGGTTTGATGGCAAAAGCTTGTGAATTACTGACAATACTTCACATCATGTTCTAAGTACTTGGTTACATGGGTGTGATTTAAAAACACATTTATACAGTGTAGCCTGAATGCAGTTCCGGAGGGTACAGGATGATATTGCACAGTCCCAATACCCTGGAGACAGACATTTCAGGAGATCAAAAACCACCTGGTGTGCTGCTAATTAACTGGGGCTTGGAAATGCCCTTTTGTTCTCCAGACCCAGAGCTCTCCCCTGGCATCCAGAGTTATTCTCACAAGGAGAACAAGTGAAGTTTCTCTTACCCTTTGTCAGCAGAGCTCTCCCTCACTGGTCACAGGTTGCTTTTCCCATTCTGTTCCAGGGAGCTGTCTGGTCTCCCAATGACCTTCTCTCAGAATCCACCTGCCTGATCATTTTTACTCCCATCTCCCASTCCTAATGGCATCTTCCCTTACTACAATCACTGTCTCTATCCCAAGTCTGTATTTTCAGTATTTGTAAATAATGCACCTGCTGCCATTGATTGGGACTGTTCTTAATCTCTCTGTTGGCTGTGCAGGCAGCCTCCTGTCCCTGCAGCAGATGAAATGCTGGCAGCACCTCCCATTTGTRTCCCCCTCTCTCAGCTGAGCCAGGAGGGGGTGTTGGACCCAGGTGCTGCTCTTTATCACGCTGGTTGAGCCAGCAGGTGAATCTTGTGGCAAAAAGCACCAGGTGATCTTTATTCCCCTTCATATATAGTGGTTCTAGTGGGCAAGGCTCTGGGCAGTCAGTATGTAAAGCTGTATATGCTGGTGAGTCACTATTTTCATAGATTGTTCTGTGTCTTGGGCTGTGATAAAACTTGCATTTGAAAAATGCTAAAATAATCATGTGCCATCCTTCCCAGCCTGTCTCAATGTGATTGTAGAGCAGCTCCCATTTCATCCAAATTCCTGCTAAAATTTAATTCCTTTGCTATCTGGACATGGTGGTTTGGTCCTTGGTTAATTTTTTCACCTTTTGTCTCTGTGCTGGGAAGTTGTCCCACCTCAGCTCTGATTGTTCTTTGTTGTTAAATGGAAGGGGGATGAAGGAAGCTGAGGGTGTGCATTGACTTTAGCAGCAAAGATGGCTTAAGAAATGAAAGAAATAAGTTCTTTGGGGGACAAAAGGTTGTGGTTTTGTGGTTTTTTTGTGGTTTTTTTTTTAGCCCTCTCCACAATTTTGCTGCTTTCCCATATTCAGTTTCTTGTCATCACTGAAGGGATGGGGCAGGAAAGGCACAAGGCAGACTCCTGGCTGCTGAAGCCATTGCTGGGTCTTTTTCAGGGTCTGGTCAGTGKTTTGGAGGTGCTTACATCTCACAGGGTTTTTGTTCTTAGTGGAACATTGACCTGCTCCTGGGCAGTGACTCGTTTCACATGAATTAATGTCYTCTGCTGTGCATGGCTGGGGTCAGAAATGCATGTGGAAATAAACCCCTCAGATGCAAATTTAGCAGGGATTAGGCATGGTCAGCAAAGGAAGAAATGCA